AACAGGTTTCAGTTAAAGCATCCCCAGAACTCATCATAATGGTTTAGAATTCAATAGCAAACAAATCCATTCTAACAATAATTATAAGCAGCAAAAAGAAGAGCAGTTATGGCTAATCAGAACATCAGAGTTTAAATGCAATGACAAAAATAGCTTCACTAAAATGAAAAAGAAATGCAGGTAATGAGGGCTACAACCTACATAATGCAACAAAACAAACACAAACATGTAAATGTTGAATGTCTAAAAGCTTACACTTTTAAAAATAGTAACTTAATTATATAGATAATGTATCGAACACACCTTCAGGTGAAGGCTCAATTTAATTTTCCATTACATACCTCACAAGTGCACTAGCATGAGTCAAACTGAGGATTTTTACCTGCCTTACTGCCAGCTACGTTCCTCCTCGCCTGAAGGAACAAATTTATTTGAACCATGCTATGTGTACACACAGATTTGCCAGATGACAAAATTTCATTGGAGTTTGGCCAAAAAACAAATTTAAAACATCCAATCAGGGCTGCCATCTCCCCTGTACACTGCCCTTGGCAATCTCCCCTGTACAAGGGGCTTATTCCAATTTATTTATTTACACTTTTCTCCAACAATCAATAGAGAACTATAAGTAAACAGAGCAAACTGCAATTCTGCAAACAAATAAATATCCTAAATATAAAAGTAAAATCAAAACAAAGAGCAAAAGATTAAAAGAAAGAACACCCCGGAATCATCAAGAAACAATAAATCATAACTCGAAATTATGCATAAATTAATAATCCCTATCAAACAACAAAATCAATTATGTAACTTGCAATTATACACAATACAAGGCGAAGCAAAAACAAAATCAATAAATTACAAAATTGAAAGAAAGCCCAGAAGAAAAATAGGACTTACAACATCTCCACGAGAAATTCCGATTTGATTGAGAGCAGAAGCAAGTTTAACACACCTTTCAAAAGTCTCTCTCCATGTGAACTTTACATTTCCATACACTATTGAAACTCTGTCTCTATATACAATTGCTGATCTTTCCAAGAAACTTATGGGGGTGAGTGGAACATAGTTGGCTGAGCATTTGAGCGTACCCTCCATTGATTGATGTTCTTGGAAGAGTCTCTCCTTAATGGATATGTTTGTCAAATTTGGGATTGGACTAGTTCACGTTTAGGAGCAGAGAGCAGCTCATATGGGCACGTGTCCAAGAATTTCATCAGCTAATCTTGGAAGTAAAAGAGTTACTATCCGTTGGAATTGGTGACCTAAATTAGG